TAGCGCAAATCTGTCAAACCATTGCGACAAAAGAAGTCATGGGAAACCAACCTGGAAGTCTATACTTGAAAACTTCGTAATGCCCATCGTAATCGATGTGTATCCTAATCGCTCTTACTTTGATTTGCATATCCCTCACCCAAATATTGATATCTCTGGGTGGCGCTACGCGATATGTCGATGGATATACCGATTGGAGCTTCGGATGCGATGTCAATAAGTATCGCGTCGTATTGCTCGTAAACACAAATTAATGATTGATATATCGATTATAGGTACTCACATTGCAGACATAGTAATTATCTACAATCGAAGCAGACTACGGAACGAGAATTATGTCCACCTGTCCGAATCCCATATCTCGGCCTCCTCCCAACCGACAACTTCATACGGCATCCCTAGAACACGCTAGTGTGACACAAAAGAAAGGAAGCAGAATCGTTTGACTCACCTGGAAGTCTATACTTGAAGAACTCGTAATGACCATCCCGATCAATGTATATCCTAATCGCTCTTCCTTCGATTTGCATATCCCTCACCCAAACGATGATATCATCGGGTACCGATACGCGATATGTCGATAGGTATACCGATTGGAGCCTCGGAGGCTCTTGACCTTCCCAAAGAGCCGTAACCATCCCTCTGAACGTGTCCCAATCGAATTTTTTATCAGCAGTATGAATCCTCAGGTCTTTCAAGCCCGATATATGGGTAGCGAGGTCATCCATGAATCGAGTCGTGCCTGAATAAAAAAGATCAAGAATGGAGAGAGTAGGGATGCCGTCGATGAGCATGAACAGTTCCTCTTCCTTGAACAACGTCCCGCCCAAACGAAGATATCGCAAATGTGGAGATCTAGCGAGAAACGATGCAAGTGCGTGCACGAATGTTGATTGTTTGGATAACTCGTACACGTCCTGGAAGGAGAATGTGTCGAGTGCGGGACAGGCGAATTGGTGAAGGAAGTTGGCGGAGCTGGAATGATAGAAAAAGGTGAACGGGGATCTTGGGGTCTCTTTTGCAGTGATGTTTAGGGTATGGAGGTTTGGAAGAGTTGGTATGGGAATGTTATCGGGAATTGAAAAGTCGCAAACAAAGACATCCGCGTGTTGTAGCGAAGAAGAGTTGGCTGCGAGGACTCTGATAAGGAGAGTCAGGTCGATGTCATCGATTATGATGGAGGTGAGATGGGAGCATGGGATACAATGCTCAGAAGTAAGCTTCACTCCACGGAGTTCAATGGACTGTATCCGGGCATCGGAAAATGTCGACAGGCCGTTCGTGGCAGTCATTGTGTTGTTGTAAAGTGCGAGGCGATTAATATTACTGAATTGGTCGCGGAACGTGGGCATCAAAACGGTAAAGAATTCTTCACGGGCGCCTGACAATGTGAGTTGCTGAATCCGTCCTGCGTGGTCGAAGATGGTTTTCAGGAGGCGGAAGGAAGCGTCGCCTTCGAGTTGAGATGATTCGAGAAATTCCAGACAGGAGTCGAAATCAAAATTCCGATGAAAGTCGAGAGAGACGGAAATAGGGAGTGATTTGGAACGTTCAAAGTGCATTTGAAGACGCTCAAGGATCGTAGGAGGATATTGAAGCTGTGAGAGATCAAGAATGATTTTTGACCACAGTGCTGGTGTATTCAATGAGAGGGCTCTCCAACAGCGGCATACGCTGCCCACTAGCGAACCGTTGAGTTTTAATTGATCGCCATATGGTTTCCTGTAAAACCGTTCCTCGAAGCGGGTCTTGAAAGGTTTGACGTTGGTGAGAATGAAGATTGTTGAGAGGATTTCTGGAGGTAAAGATTGGATGCGGGGTTGAGTCTGTGCAGGGGTCATGATGGTCGAGGAAAAACATGTAAAAGCGACCAGTGACCTTCGGTCCCGGCATCGATGATGATGTCATCATGTCTCCGGCCCCCATAGGGGCCTTCGTTAGCCATTTGTGAGCTTCTGACAGTGTGGTACGTGGTCAGATGGCTGGAATAACTCGAAGATGAAGGCTTTGACGGATATATTCCAACATTCCCCGTTATTGTGTTACAGTGCTAGTCTCATTGCTGCACCTCTTGATGATATTAATCGGCACGCAGTAGAGAATCAAAAACTAGGCTTTACTGAGCGATAGTAATAGGATCATGAAGGGTAAAGAACGATTACGACGACCTATCACGTAGCCAAAAACTGCCCTATCCGTTCTTGCACTCTATACCTATAAAACTCCAATGTCGCGTCATGTTTGCATAAAATCCTCACCGCCTTACCTTCCTGCTGCCTATCTCTTACCCAATTTCTCACATCCTCCGGTACGCAACCCCGCCTAATCTCTAGGTACGCCGACCCAAGCGAGCACTTCATCGTCCACCTGCATAAAAGCATCTCCCGCCAAGCATCCCAATCAAACCCCTTTGAGTACCAATCCAGTCGCAGTTCTTTCAACTTTGGTACCGGCCACCCAACACCCAACACCTCCATGAACCAGGTGTTCAAAGACTTTGTCATTGCCACACTGAGAAGAACAAGCTCCCTCATCTCCTTGAGGATACCGAACACATCCTCGTTGTCAAATTCCGTATATCCCAAATAAAAACTTCGAATTCCAGGGGAGCGTTTGACAAAAGCAGTCAAAGCCTGCCGAAAATACATCATGTTTGGTTTCATGATGACGGAGCGGAAATCCACGGGCATCCCAAATGTCAGGGATGTCAACGCTGGACAGTTGAGGAGGTTGGTGAAATTGGTGTAATCATCGTGAGAGTAATGCTGGACTCTCATGTCGAGATCTAGGTTTCGGAGGTGAAGGAGTGGAGGTATGAAGACTTTGCCCACGTTGACGGTTTGATGTAAAACGAATTTGGCGCTTTGAAGTGATGTGGATGTGGATAGTATGTCGATAACGAGCTGTAAAGTGGTGTCGTCAATGACGATGTTGGTAAGATTGGAATAGGAAAGGTGATGTTTTTCTGGATCGAATGTGACGATAGCATGATATAGCTCGATGCTCCATATTGGAGATGCAGAAAACGCATGTAGGATGTAGTATGGATCGTCGTTGTAAACATCAAGTGCGATGTGATTGAGACTGAGCAAACGATCTCGCAATGTAGACATGAACTGGAGCGAAAGTTGAGTGATAACAATGCGGAGAGAGAGGTGGCAAATGCGTTCGGCATGAGCGAGTACGGACTTTATGAAGTGAAAAGTGACCGGAACGGCTTTGGGATCGAAGACATTTAATTCATGGATAAACTCGATGAGTCGGTTGAAATCCAGTTTTGGATCAGCGAACTCCAGGGAAATGGAGAGAGGATGGGACTTTGAGCGCGAGAGGTGCGTTTCGAGGGCTTCGAGAGTTGCAGGGTGATATGCAGAGGATGATATTTCTCGTGTACAAGTTCCAATGTGATAAGATGCGGCATCTTTCGGAGGAACGAGATTACATCGCTGTCCTTGAGGTACATCGACTGTAGTCGAATATTTTCGAGGTTGGGAGATCGCCCGACAAATGAGTCGAATGTGAGTATTAACTTTGCAAGGGCATCTGCAAATGAATCCTCGCAATGCTTCGAGTCGGAGCTACAAGCCAGGTGGTCGTGATAGAGGCGCCGTTCGTCAAGCGACAATGTGGTCAAAGACGGACAGCTGAGGTGATCGAAGAGTCTTGTATAACCGTCGAAATTTTTGTGGAGGTAGTCGACAGTAAACGTAACGTGTAATGTACGCAAAAGCAGGGGATCAGGAAGTGGGATATCCTTGCGCAGGTCTCCATACCTGCTAACGTCAATCAGATGAACGTCTGCCAACATTAAGTATGGAAGTTCGCATAGGATTGCATAAAAGCACGAGGTAGTGAGCTGTTCAGTAGTGATGTGAGTCAAATGGGTGTTTGGAATGTATGGTCTGTTATGTGTTGTTTCAACTCTGCGTAAGAGCGGCAATCCAGATCCAGAGAACGCATAGCCAATGTAATCAGGAAAGCTGTTGTGCCCCCCAGTTTTCAAGTTGATGATGAGTTCTTCAAGATTCGTGAGGCGATGTCGGATGTGAGGGATCGAATAATACGCGAATGAGTATGTGTCGGTCTCTTCCGGAAAGAGGGAAAGAGAGCGAATGTGGCTGCCGTTATTGAGAACCATTTGGAGGAGGCTCCAAGCGAGGGGTTTATCACCGGAATGAGACGCTCCTGGTGTCATGAACTTGCCAAATCCCTGGTGATCCAAAAAGATCAGTCCAAGCTTGATCGTAAGTGGAAATGACTTTGAGCGCTCAAGATGTGCTTGGAGGCGTTCAATGGTGTGTGCTGGATACGCGTCACCTGTGTCTAGCAAAATGTCCGCCCAAAGAGCGGGTGTAGATAAGGAAACGTTACGCCAGGTGTGACACACTCGACCCAAGTCCGAGCCAAGGGAATATGACAGAGGATTGTAAAATACCGAGGGACTACTATGAAATTCCCCTTTAGCTGCAGGCCAAAAAGGGGGTTCGGTTCGCTTTGAATGAGGTACCAAAGCAAGTGTTTTGGAAAGGAGTTCTGGGGGTAGAGCTTGGATTGGGGAGAAGGTGTTCGAACACGGCTCTTCCACGGAGATCTGGCTCATGAGTGAGCAATCGACGACTAAAGCCGCAAGGTGCAATGCGTCAGCTTTCACTCTTCCTCCTCGAACTAAAAGACAAGCGGATACATACCTTTTTGTCTGGTGTCTTGGAGGTTGCGATTCAAGAAGCAATGTCACACTTGTCACTTTGTGATTCAATCACACATTAGATGCCGCCGGACGGTAGGCGGCCGGTGCCCATCAGATTACTATCGAATTGAATCGTTCGTCGTGTACTTTTCACGATACCACTTGCATCGGACTGCGATGGATACTCCATCACCTTAACTCGAACCCATAGCCTGGTCAAAACAGCAAATGTGAAAACATAGTGTGGATTCAGATGTGTCATCGAAGTAATGATATCAAGGGACGTTTCTATACTCTCAAGACATGGATAAATTCCCTGGTAGTATAACGGTTAGTACTCGCGCCTATTGTGCACATAGTGTCGTCCAGTTCGTGCGATATCTGGGTTCGACTCCCAGCCAGGGAGTGACTCGGACATTGTCATTTTTCCAGTTCGAAACGATTCCAGCTTGAACATTGTTGTTGTATGGTACATTAATCTAGACGGAGAAGACGAAACTAAATAATCCTTTTCTAGCCCCCATACCCCCGTTAGATTCCACACCGTATTCCTTTGCCTATGACGAACAGGCCGATCCTCTTTGCAAATATGCGGCAGAGCTATCTATGGCCAGGTTAGCACAAGATCTGGAAAGCAAAACGCGCGAGCATTTACATACCTATCACCAGGACATCGATATACGTAATCGATCTCTTTTCCACGTTGCAACCCCATTCCTTCCTTCCCACACAAAGAGACCCATGCGCGAAACACGACACAGGGGTGTCAAAGAAGCAACCCCGTCTGCATTCCAACCTCCCGCCGTCCTAAGACCATCAGTACCGTGAAAGCCTTCCTACGATTGACGAGAAGAAGGCGTACTCGTCATCCTCTTGGGTTCACAGTAACTCTCCGCAATACCCCATGCATATTTCGAGCCCGTATATCCCGCGTATGAAAGGAACGTTGACGATGGAAGGATCAGCAAGGGGTGTATCAAGCATCGGAGTGTGAACGGGGTAGACGTGTTGAGAGGTAGATATGGGAGGCGTTGTGGGAGTAAAGGTGTAATAAAGGAGGAGGTGATTCAATGCGGGGAGAAGGGGGCGGTATGGTCGACAGGGGCATTCAAGTTTGCCGGGGTCTTCTACCGGTCCGGGATGCATAAAAGAAGCATAGGAGGTAGGACGGCGGTACCGAGGACATATGGACCGGTGTTCTTCGTGACCTTGAACGACAACATGCTAGTGGGGATGGGAAAGCTGTGAGGGAGTTGGAGGAAAGGCGCCTTTTGTGCGTTATCCGTCAGCTACGCAGATAAACAGCAAGGTAGACAACGTACGATGGACGAAACACCCATATCCTATCTGCTCGTTTGAGTGACCAGTACGCAAGGGTAATTGTGCAGCATCCGAAGGCTCTTGACCATGTTTCAGGGAAACCACCAGAGGCCGTTGGTAGCCACATACGGAGCGTAGCAGGTGGATGTCGAAGTTGAATATCAGAGCATGCAGTATGGAAATATCGATGATTGCTGGGGGATGTTCTTCAATTAGACTGTGTAGCAAGGGAAGGGGTTGAGCGGTAGCATTGTGTTAGGTTCTTCTGAGGGATAGGACATATGCTGTATGTCAAAAACCCTGAAGGAACGTTAGCAGTTAGTATCAAGACTGGGGAGAGAAGTGGAGAACGTACCATTAGCGCCATGTAGCTCTTCTTTCTCGCAGAGTAGGTATCGGTATCGGTGGTAGAACTGAGGGACATCGATCGATATGCAGATGGTGTGCAGGTCGAAGATGCGAGTTCGCGTAGTCAATGAATCCGTCAGAATATGACCCAAGTCGTCGTGTCGGGTAAAGATCGAGTTGAAATGGGGATACGAGGTTGAAAGCCTTGGGGAAAACTTCTTGGGATTGGGGTGGTACAAGGGGTCCTTTGGCTGTTGAGTTTGATATCAGGGAAAGCGCAAAGAGGAAGAATGCAGGACGTACCAATGTCCCTGGAGCATCTTCATCGTCAGCACGCTCATCTGCCATTGTGCTCGTTGACCTTCTCGACCCGTATCAGCCCTATATTGTTTGACCATCAGATAAGAAAAAAGACTGTAGAGAAAAGGCGTACCGTTCTTGCCAAGGACAGGTGTTCTATTTTCAGTGGAGTGAGTTCAGACATGCTCTAAAAAGCACGCAGAGGTTTGATGAATAGCTCCCTGGAGAATCGGGAGCAGCGAGCGCAGCAGCATCGTCGTTGAGGAAAAGAAAAGGATTGCCACGTGGCGTTCCAAACAGACGTCATCTGACGTCGAATTTGGCGCCCACCTCATGGTTTGTCGCGTTCAGGTTGTATTCAAGTCGTATTCAAGATTCAACATTCTGGCAAAGTGTAGGTCTCCTTGTAGGGTGTGCTTTTCCTAGGTAGTGTGTCTTGTGAGGTGTAACCTCCAATGCACGATTAACACCGTGACTATTCTTGGGATTTTCAGCCCGGGCCATACTTTTTTATGCAATGAAACTATCCTTCTCGCATGCTAGCTGGACGGGGACATTTCTTTAAAAAGATGTCTGGTATTATAAATTACAGGTAGTCCCATATATAAGGCATACTGCAGAATAATCTCGTTGAATTCGGCTCCTAATCCCATCCTTCACTGTATTCCTACTATTAAAGATTGCTGCCGTGAGACTAGCAGCCATTCCCAGTCTCGATATTGGTGATGGTGGTGGCGGTGGTCGGGGTGTGTACCTTGAGGCAAGGAGTGTCCCCGATTCAAATTGGTGACACCCCTTGGTGGACCTGGTTATTTATCTTCCAGTTGCTTAACATACATTTTCAACACACGTTTCCACCACCGATCATAATATGTCCTTGTAGGAATTTTCTTGACATCTTTCAAAGTCAGTGAATTCCACTAGATGTTCAATATGGTTAGTCTCGGTGCATCTAATAAGTTGATGGTCATACTTTTGAATTTAAACCTTGAAGTACACTCAAGTCGATATCGGGTGCTTGCTCTCCAAATAGCCTCTCGCGTAAATAACTCTCTGATGTCGGGTCCTCTTCCCAAGCTTCCTCGACACTTGACAAATCAATCAAACGATCTTCAAGTGCATTATACTTTGAAATAGCTTCTGCTTTCAAGCTTGCATGGTCCAGGGGAAACGACTGCTGACTGATTAGTTTTCATCCCCTGTTTATGCAGCACAGAGCTCACCTCAAGCCACTCTAGACACCAATCCATTTCATCAATTTCACATATGTCCAACCACTTGATAAAACCCTTGAGGATTCCAAGTTCAGCACCACATAAGCGAGCAGCAGATTTCAAGCTCTGTGTTGCTTGGGCCGAATTTCGAACGTTGGACCATGGCCCCTGCCAGTCAAATAAAGCTAGATAGCATTTGCGGAGCCGAGCGGAGTAGGCATTGTGATCTCCTGTGGTAAATTCTTGTGGATGGGGTGAAACCTGTGATTTTCATGAGCATGCTGCATTGTGAAGGGCCCTGAAGAATATTCCATACATTCAACCAGTCACAGTATGTCCAAAGGTCACCAAAAATGGGAATGTAAGAGTTCAGCAATGCCTCTAATATATCAAACTTGATAAATAAGTTAGTTCAGTAAATACAAGATTAAGGAAGGAATTCACCTTCTTCATATGATATTCAATATCTGGATTGGGTGATTGCTCTTCTTGAAGTGAGAGATATTCAATACAAGTCAACTCAAAGCCTCTAGTATGAGAGCTTGAGATTGCATGCTTCACCAATGCTTAAGACCAAGCCATAATCCCTGAGCCAATACAGACTGCATAATCTCCATCCACACAAAGATGGGAAGGAGAGGACCGTTTTTTACAAGGACAACTGTAGCCTTCAATGGCCCCAATAACTCGAAGATTCATCATTGATGACAGGTGCTGTTTAATGGACTTTGAGGCATCCAACAAACTAAAAGGTGGCTCTGACAGCTTTCCCCGCTCTGTACACAGTACCCAACTACTAATCAACATTGAGAAGTTGTCAATGGTCTGGGGTGACAGGTTGGGTTCTGCTCTGACTCGGAGTGTAAGCCATGGCATATTCCACTCCTGAGCAAAGGAATGTGAATCCATATGGTTGATGTGTTGTACCAGCTTGAACATCTCAAATAGTGGTTGAAATGAAAGCTGATCCCAGTGAGAGATTGATGCTTTGGTTATAAAATCAAAATAGTCTGCAGGGATGATACTTGCTGCATAGTGAGATATATGCTTGAGCAACTGACTATTTTGGTCGTCCTTGGTCTCTATTAGTTCCATAGTGAGTTGGACAGTAACCACCCCAACAAAATGAATAATATCTGTTTCCGCAAATGTATTAAAAGAGCTAGGAGATTGAGATCATAAGCACAATGAATGAGAAGACAGACAAAGAAATGTACCTGGGATGGAATCCCTTATTCACAAGGTTAGCCACAGCTTGGAGTGTGCGAGGGATAAAGAAGTTGTCGCAATACACATTTTCATCAATGAAGTATTCATGGGAACGGTCCTCATCCTCCAAAAAATCCCAGAATGACTTGTGACGGATATCAATGGTGCCATCCTTGGGAAGATCAATCACGGAATGCATTCCACGTAGTGTTAACGCCACATCGCCACGGGAAAGTCCATAAAGGATCTCAATCATGGTTGACGTCCGGTCTGTTGAGTCCTCAAAGGGGTAGTATGCAATTACACCCAGAATATCCCGTAATCGCTCACGTCTTGGACAGGTGGAGAGGATTTGGCGATAGAGAATATCTAGCGGCTCAAACGGAGAGCCAGCTTCTGCATCACAGCATATTCCGAGAATCATATCGAGCTGTTGGCATGGATTAAAGTGCTCCTCCTCTACAAACCTGAGGACAGTTTGGGCATAGATAAACTGCCCACAGGCATTCCAAGTCAGGGTGCTGATATCCCGATCTGACGGCCAGAGAGTCGGAAGGTTAAAGCCCTTGCATCGGGGGCTCTCCCTTATCCGAGAAAAGCCATCGCGTAGAAAGTGCTCAATATCACGTCTTGTTTCCCAATCATCATCGAGGTTAAGCCGGCGCACAGGGAGAAAGTCCTCGTGGTCAAGTGTCTCTCGGATCGAGGGTTCGGGTCGACTACAAAGGAGAATTCGGGGTAGGGGTTTGTGACATTTTGAAAGGAATGACGCAATGAGGCGTAGAACCTCTTGCTGTTCGCGACCCGTGGAGCATTCATCGAGCGCATCGATGACTATAAGTCCACTGGATTCGGTGCATGATAGCATTGACCATGGCTCAAGGATCAACTTCTTGAGCTGTTCGTTGTGGTATGCCTTCAAGACGCTTGGTGTCTGCTTGATAACCTGTTCGATACGACCTCGGAACTCTGGGAATTTGTGGGCTAAGTCATATGCAATGACGAGAAACAGCCG